ATTGAACACAAACATTCTGTGCCAACTTCTAACCTTTTGTTGTTTTAACACAGAGACTTTGGATTAAATGGGTCTTGGATGCTTCAGTTTTCCCTCACAAAGGATCTTCTATTCCTAGTGAAGCTTTTCTTACAGTTTGAATTCTCTTTATTTTACTACATGTATCAGGTGAGTCCATATATCTGGACTCACAAATGTAAGACACCTGTTAAGTGAACCCAAGTTCTGTGGAAAATTGGGTGCTTGAACAGGGGAAACAAGGTATGCTGTTCATCATTTATTTTAAGAAGAGTACTCATGACTGGGAAGAAACCTAATAATCTATTTATGCTTCTAATTAGCTTTCAATCCAATACCAAAAAATAAAAATTAGTAATTTACTGAGTTTGGCAGTAATAATTTGGAAAAAATTTGTTTCATATGTAAATATTACTAAAGGATTTTGCACATTAAAGGTAAATAAACATGTTTTTCTCCTTTTTGCCTGATACACTACATAGAGAAGCATCTTGGATGATTATCCCTGTGGAGATTCCTGAAAAGAGTACACTGAAGGTTTGCAGCTCTGTGTTCTGCCAGCAGCTTCTCCAGCAGTGTTTTGTCTTAGGGGTATAGTAGTGCTTCTGCCCCGTCTTCAAGTAGTAAAAAGGTTGCAATGTATTGTAATCCTGTCTTTTATTTTCTTTGATTCTTAAAAAAATAGCTATCTTTTAGAGGACACCTTTATATCTAATATTTTCGGACTGCAGGGGCAGAATAATGATTAAAAGTTTTTGTGGCTTCAGGCAAAAGATATAAAACATGTGCACATTTTACTATTTATATTGAAAATTAACTCCAGAAATAGAAATCCCCTAACACAATGATATAATCATCTAAACCCGTAAAAAGAAAACAAAAAACCGAATCCAAGATCAGTATGCATTCTTCTCTTGTAGCAGATGCTCTGTAATTAAATCTTCCCTCCTTATCTTTTTCTTGGGGGAAAGGGGAGGTGGCTCCATAAATTACAGCTCTACAAATGCTTATTGAGCTTCAGCACAATACTTTTTAACAGTATTTGATCTGAACACTTAAAAGTAATTGCCATTAGCTTTAAGAAAGAAACTCTTAAAAAATCTCTTAAAAACTAGGTTTAGCACTGATGGCAAGTGGGGGCTCAAAACAGTTTTGGAGGAAAATAAGGTTACTTAATAACCCTTAAATGAAAAAGTGTAATTTCTGAAGTGTAATTACTTTAGCCTTATCATTTTAGGAATAGGTACAATGAAGAAATCTTTGCACCTATTGAGTTGTGAAACAGTCAATATATTAAAAATAATTTTTTATTTTATTTAGTTGACACATGAGTTGCACTTCACCCCCTACTCCAATATGGAATATAAATACCTTATACTTTTCATTGATTTGGCATTAGCTAAGAAAAATTTTCTTTTCATGGTATTTGCTTACTTGGGTTAGAGTTGACTTATTTGAATCATTACACTAATTTAAAAATGGAGTTAAAATAGATATGACTAATTTAATAAAAGGAAAAAGCATATTTTTGTATGAACTACAAATTCATTGTTATCAAATACAAATACAATTTTCTAAAATAGGCTTTGAAAGTAAAATTGATACTTATGGAAGCAAATTCAGTTTCAGCATCAGACAGCTGGCTTTTCTTCTTCCTTAGCCTTTTGTTAGCCAGATACTAAGAAAACAATGTTTATGACACAGCTGTGCTCTTGAGAGGAGTTCAGTCTTGGGTAGAGACAGATAGCCAGAGGGGAGGGTCATCAAGGACCCATGGACAAAGCCAGGGGTGGGGGGTGGGTAGGATTGAGGGCGGGGGGTGGGGATAGGTTGAGTGGCCGGGAGGGGATGGGGGCAAATGGAGACAACTGTACTTGAAAAATAAAAAAATTAGTAAGTTTTTTAAAATAATTAGGATATATTAATATGATCAGTATAAAGCTGATGTATGTATGAGAATGTTGGAATTATTTACCTGTTTTTGACTGCCAAAAATTGTAGAAGGGAAGAAGTAGAGGATAAGTGATAAAACTGCTATTTAAAAAAAAAACAGACACACACAAACACATACATTGCTGCCACCAGATGGTAAGTAACATGGTCTTTGAGGATTTTCTTTTTAAATTCAGGGATTGCTAACTTTTTTCATGATCATTTAGATTAGCACTTTCTCCTGCCATCTGGCATTTTTGTCTCTTAGAGTGTAAACTAATTTTAGTTCCCAGTTCACTATTGTCTTACTAATTTTACTGACCACATGAAACCCTCATAAATCTTCTACCCTGTGTAGCAAATAATATGTTTTTGCTCCATCTTTTTGTTTTTTCACTGTTATAATAGGACCAACTTACATCTGGAATCCAAAGCCAGCATTTGTTCATTTCCAGGTGGAATCATTGACAAGCAACATACCTATTTAGGGGTAATTATTGGTTGGGCTCCAGAAGAGCTACTGAAACAGAAATATCCTGATAAACAGGTTATAAAACAGTATTCTTTTAATAAAATAGTACAAATAATCCCTCTTGGAAATTATTGTCTTAAGAACAGTGAATACTAGTCTTTTAACATAACTGAGCATGTTCAAGTGATTTAGGCCACATTAGATTATGAGTAGAAGCTATTTGGCTAGAAATACAATATGCATAAAACAGTATAAATATTTATTCTTTTAATTAAACTACAGTTGACTATTGAAGAATGTAGGGGTTAGGGACACTGACCACCCCCCACCACACAGTGAAAATCCACATATAACTTTTGACTCTCCAAAAACTGAGGTGTCCCTCAGTATCCACTGGGGATTGGTTCCAGGATTCTTGAGGATGCTCCAAGTCCCCTATATAAAATGGCATAGCCCTCCACATTTGTGCATTCCCAAATACTGACCAAAAACAGTACAGTATTTATTCAAAAAATCCATGTAGAAGTGGACCTGCACAATTCAAACATGTGTTGTTCAAGGTTCAACTGGAATATATATGGGAATTAGTATTAGGAATTAAATGTAAAATATATGTATATAGTTTGTTTTTTTCTGGAATAATAAAGCAGTTGCCTCCCATATAATTTTGTAATATAGATAATATATATTAACTCCCACTTTTGACCTCATAATTCATTTTTACTTCTTTAGGCCAGTGAAAAAATTCCTTACTATCATATTATTGTCAACAAGTCTAACAGAATTGAGATACCCTTGACCTACATACCCAGGGAGGACGTAACAATTATGGGATATGAGGTACAGTATCTTAAGTTTTAGATTATCTTTCCAGATCTTATTTATTTACATTAAACTCAAACTATAGTGATAAACTATACTGATAAAAGGTAATTGCTACTACAAAAATGTAATTTAGCATAAAACTGAATAGAATTCTAAATTTTATCACTAATATTCAGGAACCTTATTTTAATAGTATTTCCTTTTATAAAGGAGTTTCAAAAATAGTGGGTCTGTTTCAAATATCCAGTTACAATTTTTTTCTTTCTGAAAAGAGCAATTATAATTTGCTGCTTTATGGACAGATTTTTTTAAAGGAAGTTCAGAGGAAAGGAATTTCATTACAATTAAGTTCAGGATAGGTTTATTCTAGTAGGCTTTGTGGCAGAGGGCCTCAGAGTAATTCTTCGTGAGACCAGTGTATGCCATGTGTCAGAAATTAAATTACCATTAACTGTCCACAAAATTTGATATGCCCTTAGTACACAGGATATCATACATAAACCAGCCCAATCTTTGAAGAATTTCTTTTCTTAGCTGCTCTATAGAATTGTATGACTGCCATTTTACAGAATATTTTTGAAGCAACTGTTTTAAAAATTCCTGTAAATCATAAAAAGTGTTTGATAACCTAAAATAATATTTGTTTCTTTTCAAGCTAAGTTATATAGCTTCTTTTCGAATGTGATGGAACCAAAAATATAATGAAGCCATGGCTAAGAAAAATCTACCCACATAATTAAATTTTTATTGAGTATAAACAACTTTTTTTCTTGATGTATAGCCCAAATTGCACATTCTGCTCAACTGGATAAATAAAAGCTAAGATATAACTTTTTAAAAAATAAAAATTCAACATATACTGATTTTCTGGAAACTATTTTTTAAAAAGATTTATTTATTTTGAGAGAGGGGGGAAGGAAGGGAGAATGAAAGAGAGAGAACATCTATATGTGACAGATACATCAATTGGTTGCCTCTTGCATGCCCCCAACTGGTACCCAGCCTGCAACCCAGGCATGTGCCCTGACTGGGAATTGAACCAGTGACCCTTTGGTTTGCAGGCTGGCACTCAATCCATTGAGCCAGGGCATATTTTTCATATGACTAAAAATTCATCTTAGCGTTATACTTAGAAAGCCAACTTTTAATTGAGCTGACAGTAATCAGAGAAGGTAGTTGATATAATGGCTACCATTTTCTCAGTGACTACTATGTACTAGGCATTATTTTCATGGTTTTATATTTATCAACTTTAATCTTATAGTATTATAAGTTTCATTTCATTGGTGAAGAAAGAGAAGCTTAAAGAGATTAAAGTGCCTTGCCAAGTTTACACAACTGGTAAATTTTCTCAGCAAATATTTGAGGACTTACTCTGTGTTGACCCTGACATGATCCTGGGTGTGAGAATGTAGCACCCAAGAAAGACAAAACAAGATCTCCATTCTAAAGGAGCTTACACTCTGGGAGTAAAGTCAGGATTTGAATATAGTGGTGTCATATTCTAAAACTTTCATTCTTAGCTCCCACACTCCTTACTGCCAAGGACATTATGGAAGAGATTGATAAAACTGTTCCAGTGCTGCTTATGAAAGGTGGGGATAGAAACCATATACTGGAGTCCTGGCTGGTGTAGCTCAGTGGATTGAAAACCAGCCTGCGAACCAAAGGGTTGCTGGTTTGATTCCCAGTCAGGGCACATGCCTGAGTTGTGGGCCAGGTCCCCAGTAGGGGATAAGCGAGACACAACCACACATTAATGTTTCTCTCCCTCTCTCCTTCCTTTCCCTTCTCTATAAAAATAAGTGAAATTAAAACAAACAAAAAAAAGGAAACTATATACTGGAATGTGTTGTTGGAAAGAAATACTGGTATATAAGTATCAAGATAACTCAAAGGAAAAATCTAGGCTGTTATGGTGGGGAATGGAAAGCCCATGTAGATGATGTGTAATGTAAAAGCAATGACATGTACATGGTTACATCTCAAATAGCCTTAGGATCAGTATTATCTCAGTGTATTAACCTACCCTGTTCAACATGGCCATTAGCCACTATGGCTTTTGAGCACCTGAAATGTGGCTAGTATAACAAAGGAACTGAATTTTAAATTTTAAAAAATTTTAATTTAAAAACAATGGTTATATAGTTATTAGATCTTTTAAGCATACTCGGAACAACTTGGGTGTGTGAATCTATTGTTTCAACTAAATTTTAGAAAATAAGTACAGATCAAGTATTTCTGATGAAAATTTAGCATCTGAATTGAGATATAGGATATACACAGGATTTTGAAGAATTAGTATAAAAATGAATGATACTGAATACCTATTGATTATTTTTAAAATATTGATTGCATGCTGAAATGATAATATTTTGGATATACTGTTAAATAAAATACTACAATTACTTTAAATTTATTTTATTTTTTTTAATGTGTCTTATAGGAAATTTTAAATTACATATATGGCTTGGATTATATTTGTAGTGGAGAGTGCTGTTATAATCAAAGGAGCCCTGATGAAGAGCTTATATATTATCTGGTCCATATATTTATTATTTCTTATTTCTGACATAAAAATATTTTCACAATATACTTCCTTACCCTTTTATCAAATTACAATCTGCTCTTCATTCTTTCTATTAATGTTAACAGTCATATGAGTAACAGTGTCAGTATTTCTTCCTGTAATAGAAATATAAAAGTTACACATGCACTAGCATAAATTCATTATACAAATGTGCACATAAAACATTTACTTCCAAAGAGTATTTCCCAAAGTGAGGTTTTAAAAATAGAAAAGTAAACATAAGTATTCTTTGGGGCTATATTCAAGGATTCACAAATTTGGGGAAGAACACATTATATACTATATATATATGTATGTGTATATATTCAGGCAAAAGCAAACATTATAAAAAGTATAAAAATAGACAAAAAAATACAAACAGAATACATTTTGGTTGGAATTTTAGAGATGTTTTTTTTTCTTCTCTTTCCCCTTTACTTCAAAAGTTATAAATACTTTTGAAGCAGTATGTATTGTTGCACTTTTGATTTTTTGTTGTACAGTTAACGAACTTGAAAGTCTGGATGACTGGTGATCATCTATTTGGTCTTCCCATTCTTTCATTTCTTCTTCTTTAATTAATAAAGGTTTTCCTAGAGTTTGGCCAACAAGGTTACACACTTCTTGAGCTTTGCGCCATGCATTCTCAACAGCAACAAGACAGGCTTGTCGTCTTAGGAATTAAATACAGAGGTTATTAATATGGCATTCAATGAACTGTAGCACTGAATAGTTTAATTAATTGATAATTTAGTTAAGATATGTTTAACTTACCGAAGATTCTCAACAGAACCTGGAGTATGATAGAACTGGGGTTGGCTGATGACAACAGAGCTATCTAGCTTTTCAACAAGTAAGTTACAAATATTTTGCATTTTTCCAAATTCAGTAAATGTAATGCAGACCTGTAAATAAAATGACACTTGAAATTATTTGCATGCCTGATACATTATTTCAAACTTTTCTCTAAATGTGAATTAAAAAAAGTAAAAGCCATATTACAATGTCATTTTATAGTATGTAACAGGTATGAAAAGCCTATCTGAATTATTATTTTGTCATTAAACTTTTTGCTTATGAATTTTATAATTTAATATTAACTTGAATATTTTAAACTACATTTAGAAGTAGACTAAACATTTCTTCCAAGGAAACTTGACACAAGCTCATAAATGGGTGCTGGATTTCATTAAATGCCCTTTTTTTTGCATCTATTGATATGATCACATGATTTTAATCCTTCATTTTGTTTATGTGATATATCTCATTTACTGTTTTGTGGTATTGTACCAACATTGCATCCTTGGAAAAAACTCCATGTGATTATTGTGTATAATGTTTTTTTTTTAAAGATTTTATTTATTTTTAGAGAGGGAAGGGAGGGAGAAGGAGAGAGAGAGAGAAACATCAATGTGCAGTTGCTGAGGGCCATGGCCTGCAACCCAGGCATGTGCCCTGACTGGGAATCGAACTTGCAATGCCTTGGTTCGCAGCCCGCACTCAATCCACTGAGCTATGCCAGCCAGGGCTTATGGTGTATTATGTTTTTAATGTGTTGCTAGATCCAATTTGCTAATATTTTTTTGAGGATTTTAGCATCTGCGTTCATCAGGGATATTAGCCTATAATTGTCTTTCTTTGTAGTGTCTTTATCTGGTTTTAGAATTAGGATAATGCTGGTCTCATAAAACAAGCTTAGGAGTCTTCTACTCTTGAATTTTTGGAAATTTCTTCTAACACTGAGATTATGAAAAAGAAAACAACCATGACAACAACAAAAGAGATATAAAAACTATGAGATGAAGGTTTTAATCCAAATCCCCTCCCCACACATAACTCCCACTCATCCACCCTTAAAGAAGTCACTTGAATTATTTATTACTTTCAATATTCTTATCTTTAAAATAAGAAATAGCATGGTAGGTAGAAGGTTAGATAAGCAGTCTTTAAAGTGCCTTTCAGGATGAAAATTTCAGATATAACATGAAAAGTAATGTTCTACTATTGATCATAATCTATATATTTAACTGCCCATGAGAATATTGGTATATGTAAGACATTAGGTTTTAGTGTTCACCATGTCCACAGCCATAAAGCCACACATTATTCTTTACCTTGTGAGCCCACCACCCTGGTCTCTGGACTGCTGATGTTGACCTAAGCACAATCATGTGTAATATGAGATCTGTGTACCAGGAGCCCTATACAAAATATAATCAGAGTCTCTCTTAAGAAATTTGCATACAAGACATTAAAAAAGTAAGTACAGCAGAAAGAATATGAGCAGAATTTAGCCAAGTCCTTGTTTAGTCATGTCTTACATAAAACACATAGCTCCAATGTACTTCTATCCCTGGAGGGTCAGTCCCTACAACTTAATCTGAAAAACACAGTCCAGTGTTCCATGAAGCCTGGCTGTGTGATTGCTGGGACTGTTCCCACCCCTCTCCACCCTTACTTCTTCGTGTACCCTCCCAATAAATCCCATTAACCAAGATAGTGTGAGCCTATCTATGTTCACTACAACTAACTGGTAGTAACTACCAGAGGAGTGCTAGAACAAATCGCAGCTGTTGACCTCTGTAATACAGGATCTTACCGGACTGCTCTTCATCCTGTTTTAAAGGTATTTTTAAGTGCCTACCAGTACAAAATAACTTTTGTCGAATGGATCCCTAAACTCATCATATGAAATTTTTAAATTCCTTGAAAGTTAAATTTTAAATAAAGAAATCACAAGCTACTAGGTTAATAATTGGGACAACAATGTATTGTGAAAATGACTCTCTCAGAGGTAAGGAGCCAGGATTCTAATATCCATTTCATTCTAATTATTGTAGCATGACACTTGAGAAGTCTGAGACTAAGTGATCTGAGCCTAAGGTCACACCCTTTAAAATTAGAAAAATAATACATTATGTGCTAAAGGTATGAGTAGGTGATTTCTGAGATATTTTCCACCTCTAAAAGCAAAGACTCTTGACTAGATATACAAGATTCCATTCTAACTGCATTCTTTTTTTAAAATTACTTTGTTGTTGTTCAATTATAGTTATCTGCATTTTCTCCCCCCCACCCTAGCCAAACCCACCTCCCTCCCTTGCTTCCACTCTTCCCCTTGATTTTGTCATGTGTCCTTTATAGTAGTTCCTGAACTCCCCCCCCGCCCCCCCGCTATTGTTAGATTGTTCTTAATTTCAATGTCTCTGGTTATATTTTGTTTGCTTTTTTCTTTTGTTGATTAGGTTCCAGTTAAAGGTGAGCTCATATGGTATTTGTCCCTCACTGCCTGGCTTATTTCACTTAGCATAATGCTCTCCAGTTCTATCCATTCTGTCACAAAGGGTATAAGCTCCTTCTTTCTCTCTGCTGCACAGAATTTTGTTGTATAAATGTACCACAGTTTTTTGATCCACTCATTTGCTGATGGGCACTTAGGTTGCTTCCAACACTTGGCTATTGTAAATTGTGCTGCTGTGAACACTGGGGTGCATAGGTTCTTTTGGATTGGTGTTTCAGGGCTCTTAGGGTATAATACCAGCAGTGGAATTGCAGGGTCAAAAGGCAGTTTCATTTTTAGTTTTATGAGGAAATTCCATACTGTTTTCCACAGTGGCTGCACAAGTCTGCATTCCCACCAACAGTGCACTAGGGTTCCCTTTTCTTTGCATCCTCGCTAACACTTGTTTCTTGATTTGCTTATGATGGCCATTCTGAGCAGTGTGAAGTGGTGTCTCATTGTGGTTTTAATTTACATCTCTCTGATGGCTAGTGATGCTAAGGATCTTTTCATGTCTCTGGGCCCTCTGTGTGTCCTCCTTGGAGAAGTGTCTGTTCAAGTCTTTTGCCCGTTTTTTAATTGGGCTGTTTGTCTTCCTGGCGTGGTCTAACTCCATTCTTGTTTCCTGTGGTAAGGCAGCAGCATGGACCAAGCACATACCCCAAGATATGCCAAATCAGAAACGGACAGCAGTCTGTTTTAACATACACTGATTTCATAAAATCCTGATCTTAAAATCTTTAAAGATAAGTAAAAAGTATAGGCAGTTGTAGGAGCTAAATGTTATCATTAATTGAGCGTACTAAAATATTTTGTTCCTCTTAACTTACCACAACATAGTAAAATTGCATTGTGAAACAAAAGAATGTTAAAGAGTGTTTTGATCCCTTGTTATATTAATTTGCTTTTTATCTAAGAAGAAATTTGCCTTCTGTAGTGCTTCTTGTTTACTATGTAATAACATTACTAAAATTTTGTTCAGGTGGCAAGTAACTGCTACTTCCCCCTTGTTATTTTTATTCCATTTAAAAAACTTCTCAAGTACATCTCATTAAATTTATTTGAAAATAGGTATGTAACATCAAAAGTGATTGTGAGAAAAATAACCTTTTATCAATACCACGAGAAGCATTTCTTCTGTACATTTCAGTTCAAGAATAAAAATAAATGCAAATTGTCCCCACAAAGTCATGCTATTTTCAATTGTTAAGGTAAGTACATACCTCTGCTTCCATGTGATAAGCATTTTCCACTCTTCTGATATCCTTTGTTACGGTTATATTTTCTGACTGAAATAGAGGGTACAAGGGTATAATTACTAAGTGGCTATTAAATGGGATTACTCTAAAACAGTGATTTTCAACCTGTGCCACAAGAATTTTTAAAACATACAATGCCTATTTAGTTAGTGGCATGAACTCTTTTTCTTTAGACTGTCAAATAAAAAAATAACAACAGCCAGCACAACAATAGTCATCTGGTGTAAATGAATCAAATTGCACCTATTTTATTTGTCAGGTTGGCAAAAATATATCATTTTGTGTGCCACAGAGTTTTAGTAAATAGTTTGTGTTTGTCATGAGATGAAAAAGGTTGAAAATCACTATTCTGAGGTTTAAAGTAGCAACTTGAACCTCTTAACATCAAAATGACAAAGTATGCATAAAGAACTGGTTTGACTGATGTTTTAAAACTTCCCTAAACAAAATAAATTCAGAAGCCTACAAACTGTTGCTAAAAATTTCTTTATAATTCCATTTGTAGTAATTTTTATATTAGCTCGTACAAAAATTATGAACTTATCGAGTGTTATATATATGAAGAATAATTTGTACATAAAACATTCTGAATGTTACAGGAGTGTTAGAATTTTTAAATGTTTAATTTACAAATTTAATGCAAATTTAAATACCAGTGGTATGCAATTTTGGGCAAGTTACTCAACTGTTTTTTTTTTTTTTGAGCGTTAGTTTCTGCATTTATAAAATTAGGTGGACATCATGTATACTACACAGAATTGTTTTGAGGGTTTAATGACAAGTTGTATATAAGTGCTGGGCACAGAGAAGGTACTAAGCAAATATAGATGCTATCCTATTATCATATAAAAATTTCCTAAAATAGTGAACTCAGACTAGTTTGTTTTTTAAAAAATATTAATGCTTTCTGAACCTCTGGGTAAACACAGGTACACAATTGAGACAAAAATGTTAAATTTCTTATTTACTTTTCTGAAGGGTTTTAAAATTTAGAGACATGAACTCTTTACCTACTCTCATTTTGTGGGACAGGCAGAACCTATGTCTTACAAAATTCTTCTATCTTTCAAAATATATGCTAAATATATGTAAAGATTATTATGCTCAGTAATGATTTAATTGTAAATTCTTTTCTAGAGGACTTAGCTGCATCTATATTTTAAAATATAAACTAAGTTCAAGCAGTTATATTATCCAGAAAATGTGAAAGAACTTTAACTGAAAAATTTGAACTGAAGTACCAAATACAGCTGTGATATCCACCACTATCATAAAAATATGTATGCATATGATAGAAGTAATAACTACTCATGGTAGATAATTTAGAATACCAATAAATATGAAACATTATTATATAATGTTGTAATCAGCTTTATTCACTTGATTGACATGGAACTTGGCTGTCACTTAATAATCCTTTGTGACATATAAACATATCTTCTAGTTTTTTGGATGTCTCCTCTTTAAAAAATCTTTCCCCCACTTCACTTGATAAATACATATAAAACTTCTTACTGAAAAAGTTATCAGAGAAATAATTTTAGGAAAGGTAGCTGGGAAGAAAGTATCTTTTATTGTTACATTTAATTGTGTTATTGTTGCCAATTAAAGAAAATTTAATAACTAGAGAAAAAAAGGTAAAGGAGAAATAATGTCTCCAAACCCTATAATTGTTAGTATTTAAATAAACATTTTACTGAGCCATCTATCCATGCATATAAATATATCTAGATCTATGTATGAGCTTTTTCATAAATGAAATTATATTCTATATGCTGTTTTGGAACCTACTTTAATAATTTTTAATTTTAGAATAATTTAAAATTCACAGGAAGGATGCCAGGATAGTACACAAAGTTCCCATATACCTCAGTTTTAGATTTCTCTGATGTTAGTTACTATCTTACATTACCATGACACATCTGTCAGAACTAAAAAACAAACACTGGTACATTAACATTAACTAAACTCCAAACTTTATTTGGATTTCACCTGTTTCTATTGATGTTCTTTTACTAAGGTTCCAATCTAGGACACCAAATTGCATTAAATCATCATGTCTCCTTTGTCTCCTCTAGTCTATAGCAGTTTCTGAATCTTCTTTTTTTTTTATGACTTTGAAAGTGCTAGTCAGTTATTTTGTAGGATGTCCCTCAATTTGGGTTTGTATGATGGTGTTTTCTCATGATCAAATCAGAATTAATAGGAAAGAATACCATAGAAGTGAAGTGCCCTTTTCATCATGACATGCCCTGGGGTAAATAATTTCCACATTAACCTTGATCACTTGTTTAAGGTAGTGCCTGCATGGTTCCTCTACTGCCAAGTTACTATTTTTCTCTTTCCATGCTTTATTCGTTGAAGGTGAGTCACTAAGTCCAGTCCACATTCGCACAGTAAATGCTGCATAGTTCATTTTGTTGCTCAAATTGTTCTAGCTATGGCTATTGCGAATTCTTTCAGGCTGGTTCCTATATCCCTCTAACATAATCCCATCCTTTTATTTTTTGAGTACTTCCTTACTTTCTGGTGCAAGATGCTACAAGCTCATGTTGCAGGTTCCCTGCCCAGCCCCTTCTCCAAGAAGCTTAGTATCATCTTTGAGTTTGGTATTTAAAACTAAGATCTGGGGGTTGCAACTGCTCATTGCTACTGGAGTGTTATTCCTTGTAGGCCCTCTCAATAAACAGTTTGTGTATAAATTCATGTATATTCCTGTATCTATAATTGTTTCTGTTTTCTGCATCTGTATATATACTAAGCTAAACATGACTTTCCAACTCTCAACCAGAGTTCATTCTAACCATCCTTTCTTATCTGTAACTTCCAGAAAATATCCAGCCATGTAATATGAAAAAGAGACATCTATTGAAGAAAATACAAGAAACATTGTACATAGGACAATGACACCTCAGTCCCCTTCAAAGTAGTCACCTTGGGACCTCACACAGTTCTCCTAATCGCCATCAGCTGCCCCGTTGTATTCTCCTGAATCTCATCAATGGTCTGAAATCTCTTCTCTTTCAAAGGTGATTTTAGTTTTGGGCAAAGTCAGAAGTCACAGGGTGCCAAATCTGGGCTGCATGGTGGCTGAGCCACTTGGGTGATTTGATGTTTTGCCAAAAAACTCTGCATGAGAGGTGCTGCATGAGTGGGAGTGTTGCTGTGATGAAGCAACACTAGTTTTGCTGCCAATCACCGGCTGCCCATAGCTGTGGCCTTCCTGAATTATCTGAATGGTTTCCATGGAGGAATGTTCAAGCTTAACACAAAATTTGATGCATGTTCATTGCTCTACTTGAATGTGATGGCCACACAGTATACATGCTCACTTAATAGCTCCTACCGCCCCAACTGACTAGTACAGTGAAGTTGTTATTGTTTACACATGGACATTCTAGTCTACTCTCCTTGGCTGCCAGGTTACATTGATGCTGTGCAAACCATTCTTGTTATATTATCAGTGGTTGAACTCTTTCCATATATATATATATATTTAACAGTCTCAGAATTCTTAATCAGTATCTGGTTGGAAAACAAATTTACCAATTAGGGTATAGTGTTTATGTATCATTCATCTTTATCCTTAGTTTCCAGTCAAAACACTATTTTCCAAAATTACCTAGCATACTCCTTTTACTATCCTCCCCCATGTTGAGTGCACTTATGTCATTTCTCTGTAATAAAGTTAGGTTCATTTGTCATAGTCTATATTCTGTCTTGGAATTGATCCTTATTTTGATGCCTTTTTGTTCAATTTACACCCAGTAATGTTCATTCTTTGTGATTTACAGATCTATGGGTTTTGACATATGCATAGTCAGTATCCACCATGCCAGTACCACACAGAATGATTCTTTCACCTGAAAAGTTCTTCTGTGCATCCTCTTTAAATCAACCAATTTCCTGTGCAACAACCTCTGTCAACTACCAATTTGTTTTCTGCCCCTATGGTTTTTCCTTTTCTAGAATGTTGTATGAGTGGATCATAAAATACAAACCTTTTTATAATATACATCTATGATTCATCCATGTTGTTTTGTGAATCAACAGCTTGTACCTTTTTATTGCTGACACTATCGAAGACATCTTGGTTGCTTCCAGATCTAGTGATCTATAAAGCCATTATAAGCATTTGTGCACTTAACTTTATAAAAAACAGTGTCTTCCAAAGTAGTGTTACCATTTTGCAACCTTACCCGCACTGATGAAAATTTCTGTTGTTCTACATCTTTGCCAGCATTTACTATAATCAGTGATATTGGATTTTAGCCATTCTAATAGCTGCAAAGTGGTATCTGGTGGTTTTAATATTTATTTCCCTAATGACAAATAATGTTGAGCCTCCTTTCATGTGTTTATATGCCATCTGTCTAAATTCTTTGGTGAAGTGTCTGTTCAGATAATTTGTGCTTTTAAATTAAGCTGCTTGTTTACTTACTGTGGAATTGAGTTCTTTGTATATTCTCGATACAGTCCTTTATCAGATGGGTGATTTATGAATATTTTCTCCAGGTTGTGGAATGTAATTTAAGACCTTATTTTTTGTTTCTGAGTGGTTTTAGGTTCACAGAAAGATTAAATGGAGAGTACAGAGATTTCCCATTTATCCCCTATCACCACACATGCATAGTCTCCACTATTACCAACATTCTTCACCAGAGTGGCACACTGGTTACCAATGATGAACCTACATGGACACATCATGATCACCCAAAGTCCACAGTTTATATTAGGGTTTACTCTTGGTGTTGTATATTCTATGGGTTTCAACAAATATATGATGTGTATCCACAACTATTGTATCATCGAGAGTATTTCACTACCCTGAAAATCCTCTCTGCTCCATGTTGTTCACCCTTCCCTTTCCCCCAGTCCCTGACAACCACTGATCTTTTTACTGTTTCCATAGTTTGCTTTTTCCAAAATGTCATACAGTTGAAATAATACAGTATACAGCATTTTCAGATTGACTTCTTTTTTTAGTAATATCTATTTAAGTTTCCTCCATGTCTTTTCATGGCTTGATA